TGTATTATTTTAAAATTTGAACAATTACCACTGGTAAGACCTTCATTTTCCCTCATGAACAAATTTTAATTCTAGGAGCCAGGCTAGGTATACAGCAGGGAACAAAATGGACAAACATCTTGTCCTCACGAATTGCCTCCACACTCTTCTGAAACATTGATTTCTTAGATTCTTTGCTCTTAAAGTAAATTATAACATGCCCTAGCAAAGATCCATGGAGTCTAGGGAGGGGACACCTGAGTTCCCTGAGAACATACCTGCTCTCATACATGTCCAAGGTTCATAATAAAATTCAGCAAAAGCAGCTTTCACTCCAGAGGTAGAATCCAGGAATTGTACTCTGTGTGCATATAAGAATATAGCATTAACATTAGACTTTGAATGGTTTTAATACTGCTTCCTGGCCATGATCTTAATAGGTTTTCTAACTCTCTCTTGTATTTGTGGGCCTTTTTAAAGTTAATGCTGGAAAGCCCAGATGACATCTTCTGCTTCAAATTCTGTCCAAGCAACCCTAATATCATTGCTGGAGGCTGCATAAATGGCCAGGTACTTTGGATTTTTTCTTCAGCTATTTATTAATTTAGATAACATTCTGCAACCCATTTGATTAGTAGGGTTTTTCCTTTTAGCTTAAGGCTTGAACTCAGCAGAAGGAAGGCATACAAATTGTGTGTCAGTCAACATGCTAGGAATTGGGGTTTAAAGATATATCAGACATGGTGTTAGGGCTCCAGTTGTACACTGGGTAACTCAGTTGTGCTAACTGGAATGTAAGTGGATCAAATCTATTTGTATTGCTGGAATAGGACCACACATTGTACAAGATTTCACAGAAGAACAAAACCACAAATATTAATCTCTTCTGAAATTTTTCTGAGGATAGTAAGTAAAGGATAGTGTAGAATTTAAACAGAAATTCACTGGAAAGCATATATATGTATACATATGTACATATATACACATACCTTATTTATCTATATATGTATTTGAACAATGTATATGTACATTGTTTGCTTTTAACTACTTTCCCTTTTAAGTTATCTAATTTATGTAAAATATGAATTTTATCTTTCATTTACCTGCTTTTCTAATAGAGCAAAACAAAACCAGAAAACTGTTTTATAATCAAAGTTTAAATTCATTGTGACTCACTGAGTTTGGATATTACCATTATATGTATATAACCTCTAATCTTTTTTTCATGTGGTTGAGAAAACTCTTCATGATTGAAATTTAAGGGCCTGCAGCATCCAGCCCACTTAATCTAGAACCAAAACAACCAGAAAAACAATTTTTTTCCCTCTGTTTTGTTCGATAGTAACCAGTAGTCATAATGATAACCCAGAGCTCATTCTCCAGGTCTGGCAAATTCTGAAGGGCTTTATCTATTACTCAGTACAAAAGTAATATAGCTTTGTTTTAGAAAAGCAAAGGAGGAAAATAAAACTACTCTCTATTCTATAAGATTAATATTTCAGTGTACTGAAAATTGGGCACTTATATTTAATTGTGAAGATCAGGCTGTTCCCCTGGGTCTGAGGCAGCTGTTTCCACAATCACAGCACATCCCATCAAACAGGAAGAATTCTACCCAAAGCACATTACATGTTTATCTTAGATTTTTAAAAAAGACCTGCCTTCATTAGCACAAGCACAAAAATGGAAGCACTGAAAACAATTTTATAGAGAAGAAATCATTCTTTTCTATCTTAGCTTTGACTATTGCTGACTTAGTTAAGATGTAGGATAAATTTAGTACTCTGGGATGTGACTGCTATACCAGAGTATACACTGAGAAGTATAAAAAAATCTTGAAGACTCAGTCGACTGTAGACGCCACATATATGTTACTGAACGTTGGCATTATCTGATGAAAAATAATCAATTAATTAATTAATCAATTTTTTAAGAAAAACAATCCAAATAGCTCTTTCCTAAAAATATATCCTAATGGCATTTACTTCCATTTTAGATCATCTTATGGGACATAACTGCACATGCTGAGCGCATAGAAAACATCAAGGCCGGAGGAAGTAGAAGTAAAAAGGCTACCCTCAAGGTTAGCTTTGTTTGTTTTTTGTTTATGTATTTATGCATACAGAACTGGGCATACAGGCCAGTTTATTTATGCATACAGGCCAGAGGTGCAGGTGGTGAGAGGATTCACCAGCGACAGAGTGGGGAGCAGAACAGGCAGAGCCACAAAGTACACTGCTGAGGGGAAGCAGTGGGCGGGCCATGTGGGTCACCCCCTGGCCAGGAGTGAACTCATGTTGAGGTGGCTGAGGCTAGTTTGGTAGTGCTGGCTTCAACCTGTTGCGCCCCCAGGGCCTGCCGTCAAGGTTAGTTTTGTGCAACTTTTCACATAATAGTTTCCATTCAGATATTATTCAAAAGTGCACGACTGCTTTACAAAGCTAGAGGCTCAATAGGGGAAGAAAAGTCCTATTTCCTAAGCCCATCCCTCTGCTTTTGGGGGGCATTCTGAATCACTTCTCCGTAGGCCCTTGATTGAAAACACCACAAAACAAGTGGCGCTGTCTTTTCCAAGCACGAGTTTTTTTTTATTGATACTGTTGTTAAAGAAAAGTACCAGGCCCTCCCTGGTGGCGCAGCGGGTTAAAGCACTTCACTAAGAAGCTTAAGCCACTTCCACAGAGTTCTGATCCTGCCTGCCACGGAGGAGATCCACATAGCACAGTAGACCTCTCCTGACCCGCCCGCTGCTCCCCTCAGCAATGTACTTCGATGATCTGCCTGTTCTGCTCCCCACTCTGTCCCTGGTGAATCCTCTCACCCTCCGCATCTCTGGTCTGGCCTGTACCCCAGTTTTGTATGAATAAATAAATCTTAAAAAAAAGAAAAGAAAAGTACCAAATGAGTTGCCTAAAGTGACCTGTGAGTTGGGACCTCTGTCTTCAACTCAAGCCAGCGTTGCTTGTCTCATGAGTAAAATGAAAAGCTGACAATCCTTTCAGATAAAATATGCTGATTTTATGAAGTCGTGGCGTGTGCTGAGGGGACTTAGCTCCCACCTCAGTCAGTCCTTACCCACTATATTATAGATCTCCACCATCTCCAGTTCTTCACCAGAGCTTCCACAGTTCTCCTAACAAGAAACAAAGGATGTGGCCACGTGTGGCAGCAAAGCAATAATCCTTCAAAAATGGGATCTCACTGATTGGCTATAGGGATGTAGGTCAATAATTCTTACTAAATCTAAAGATACAAATCTTAGGGTACACTGAAGGGAAAAGTGGACAATCTTATTACCTAACTACATCATATTGAAACACTATGTTTTTTTTCTGAGAGCTGATGCTTCTCACTAATTTAAATTGGAATGAGGAAAGTGTGAGCTCATTTATCAACTTTCTAAAATTAGCAGGTAACTTTTAAAAATATTTTTAATGTTACATTTAAACATTTTTCCAGCCTATGTTTCTCCTTGAACCAGACAGTAATAAAGAAGTAGCATATATCAGACACTGTGCAGTCTCCTCAATAGAGAACGGACATAAGAAAGCCATTACAGACATACACTGGCTGCCTGACAACTTTGAGGTGAGTTTTAGTGGCTTCGGCGTTTTCTCCTGCTAAACTGTAAATTTTCAGAATGTTTCACTCAAAGAGAATGCTTCAAGCCAACTATTCACTTACATTTAAATTGTGAAGTAGCCGGGAACCTAGGCATCAAACCTTATGTCACTATTGTCAGACCCATGTCTGACTGGCAGGGGATGGGGGCGGGGGGGAGGGAGAGGGGGAAGGCGAAATAAGGCCAATATTTTAGCTTCAGTGGTTTATTGATATACTACAATAATGGCAAAGATGAAGGTTTCATAAGTAAAAATGGAGTGCAAATGTTATACACCTGTAGGCTTTGTGGATTTAAATCTACAATTTCATCTATTGGAGCTCTGAAGCTCTGTGGCACAGTGATCTGCATTTTGTCGAGATAGAACAGCGTGTGTCCTGAGCCTGGTGGGCAAAAACAGGGACCATAAGTGAGCAGAGCAGTTTGACTTTATAGTTCTGCATTTGACTGGTGAAGTCTGGTATTTGTGAATTTGGGAATTGGCAAACTCTCTACATGTTTCACTCAGGGCATTAAAGGCTTACTATGTACTTGAAGAATTAACAGGTAAGATGATCAAAGGTTGTGAGGTTATTAAAATAAAAAGTTATCAGAATATTAGAGTTATGAAGATTAACTAAACCTACTAAGTAGTCAAATGGATTATACAAAGCAACAATATTTTCAAATATTCTAACAGAACAAAATCTATAGCCCAGCTATAGTCTCTGTTTTCTATAAATATTTAACATATTGTAATGGAAGTTACAATCCAAGAGAAGGAAATACATTTCAGCTCATTCCATATACACAAATTTATGCAGATGATTATAAATTTAAACAGAAATAACAAATCTCAGGAAAAATACAATAAATTAAAATAGAATATCATATTTCTGAAATGGAGTTCATTTTCTAAGCTAATGTTGAAAAAACATATATATACAAATTTCTAAATAAAAAAGTGCAAATAAAATGAAAGTAAACATTGCCTCACATGTAGTAAATACAAATTTTTCCAGTTAATAAGCAAAAGACAATTATTCTGAAACACAACTAGTAGATAAACATGAAGATAATTTACCTTTTCGAATATCGAAGAAGTACCAATAATATAACAATAGTGATTATTATGTTCCTACTTATTTAAATGAAAATTTCAAATCATACCCTATGTTAAAAAGAGTGAAAGGATAAAATCAGTAAACCTTGCTATTCCAACAAAAATCTATGCAGTTAGCCAGTATCATTCTTATCACCCAAATGTTCAAACTTTTGGCCAGTAAATCAACTTTTGGGACTTCATACTAAGAAACAACTTCATTTGTGCCCTAAGATTAAATTACACCTATACCTATACCTTAATAAATCATGTCAAAGTGTATCCATGAAATATGACAAGAGATTTCTAAGGTAAAATAATATATTGCATTTTAAAACCTTTCATTTCCCAAACTTCTGTATTAAGCTTCTAAAAATCATCAAAACACAAGGCCCTCCCTGGTAGCGCAGCGGGTTAAAGCACTGCACTAAGAAGCTTAAGCCACTTCCTCATGAGTTCGATCCCCACCTGCCCCAGAGGTGACCACATGCGAGGCAGACCTCTCCTGACCCACCTGCTGCTCCCCTCAGCAGTATACTTTGATCATCTGCCTGTTCTGCTCCCCACTCTGTCTCTGGTGAATCCTCTCACCCTCCATATCTCTGGCCTGTACCCCAGTTCTGTATGAATAAACAAATAAGTCTTTTTTAAAAAAAATCATCAAAACACAAAGCCCAAGAGCAAGCACATGGGGTGGGGTGGGGGGGGGGGGGGGAGTGCTGGTCAAACCCCAGGAGAAGCTGCAGCTTCTGTCTGAACATGAGCCGGTGCAGACTACAGCCCTGCCTCAGATTTCCAGGGTCCCTGCATCCTGTGATGCCTGCAAGGCACCTTCTGTTGCTCCCTCTGTCACTCTTCTGTTTTACCAGTTCAAGGTGGGTAGGGAGTTGGGGAAAGTCACATGTCCCCCACTGATCCCAGAGTGGAACCTTCACAACTTGCCACAAAGTCTTTCACCTCATTTCCCAAGAAGCCTGTGTTTTGGACCTTGGATTACTCTAAGGAGTCATTAGCCCTCCTGCGAATCCTCCCTGGGCTACAAGAGCTGGGCCTAATTACTGAAGGCATTCAGGCTCCACAGCATTTACTGCACACTGTTGGGATCTAATTTAATTAACACTCAATCACGTTTTTATTGATGCTAACTGCTTAAACACCTCATAAATCTCCTTTATTCAGGCCTGCAATCACCGGTGACAAACAGAAAGAACCTGCATTCCTAATAATGGATAATGAAAAGAAAATATATTAATATATGTTTAATATCATAAATATGTGCTGAAAATTATTGGGATGACTTATAAGTACATAAGTAAATGTTCAAATCAATTGAAAAAGCTTAGGATAGAAATTTACATGCTAATCTATATAAAAGTGTTTCTGGAAAAGAATAGATGAATGAATCTCTTTCTAAACCTGTTTATCAAATTTCTTTGACAGTGTTATGCTCTTTTAATAAAATTTAAAGCAAGGAAAATATTAAAAATGTAAAAAAAAACATAATTAAGAAGTCATTACTGTTCTAGGTACACCGAGCTTACTTCTTGTGTTTTTAAAAAATAGATAAACAGATTGGGTTCTGTCTTTGAGAATCGAAGTGGAATATGCTGCCAGCTTGCCACGTGTTCAGCTGATTGGTAGGTCTTATTTTAAACAACACCTACTGTTTTCACACATTGTGTTATATTTCCTTAGACGCTTCCTCTGTTCCTTAAATAATCTTTATTGTAGTAACTGGGGAGTACCTCGAGGGAGACCCCCTCCCCTACGGGAGCTCTTTCCCCTTTCTCACGAATAAATTTCTGACCTCTCTCTCACACATGCACACACCGACTTTATTGTAGTATAAACTTGATACAATCTTTGCCATCTTACAAGATGGTGGCTAAGAAGCTGAGAAGGCAGCTACTGAGACCTGCACCTGAGCTGGTTGACGCTGGCCGTGAGCCTTAGAAGGCCTCAGATGGCCAAGGCCAACCCTGTAAGAAGACGAAGCCCCACGTCAGTGGAAACCCTATCCTCGTCAGCGGAACCAGCAGACGCTTCCAGCCTGCTGTGTGTTCCAGAAAGATTATGTACAGTATTGAGTGGCTAAATGCGGGATTGCAAAGAAGATTATGCTACGTCACAGAACCATTTAGTAGTGACAAGAGCAGCGGTACACCAATGGTTAAACTTGACAAAATGACTAGACATTGTCTTTTCAAGATGCACTTGAACAGCTATTGAGCTTTGTTGAACCCCTCCAGCCAGCACTCGGGGGGAAAATGGAGCCCAACAGGTATCATTCTGGGCACCATTCAGACCATCCTCCCTGGGCGCCAGGGAGGCAGGAGGGTGGTTTTCCAGAAGCAGCTGAGCAGTGGTTTGTTACTTGTGATTGGACCTCTGCCCCTCGATAGAGTTCCTTGTACAGGACACACCAGCTATAATAGGTCATCACCACCTTCACCAAAACTGATAATTAGCGATGTGAAAATCCCAAAGCAATTTACTGAGCTTGCTTCATGCCGCAGCAGCTGGGGAAGGCCCTGCGCCAGGAAAGCGAGATCCTCCTCACAGAGGAGACACACGTGATTACGGAGCAGCGGTGGGAGCCCAGCTTCTGTCAGAAATCAAGGCTGTTGGTCAGCTGGTCTCACAAGTGAATTTATTCTCACAAACTGCGCTGGTCTCACAAGTGAATTTATTCTCACAAACTGGTGTTCTAAATTTCTTATGAAGAATATAATTAAATCATGAAAATAACCCTAATATAACTCAAGGAGAGCATTTATAAATAGTTGCTGGTTTTAAAAAAAAGTCTCTTTATAGATAGAAATATTGGAAAAAGAATTAACGAGATTTCATACTTGGTAATGTTTTTATAACATTGTCCATAGTTATTCTGCTTATTTATAGTCTTTTTTTTGGTAAATTTGCACTATATATTGTTTACATTCAATTTTAGCTCAGCTACAAAGCTATGACACAATTGGGAAGCTTTTTTAAAAATGGAGATTTAATATTCTTATTGCATATTAAAATGTTTTTAAAAGCAATGTGGTAACTACATTGAATAATCTTCATTTAAGTAAAATTATACCTCCCTATTTATACAACCAAAAATCATAATGAAGTAAGCAATTTGAAGAGTAATAGTAGGTATCCAGCATCCTCATTCTGGCAAAACATTACCATCCAAACAGCTTTGACTCAATAGAAACAGAAAGGCATGGCTAATCCTATGGACATGTATTGCATAAGTTTCTGTGATTGCAAGCAACAGCAGTAAGTTGACCTTGGTTAACTTAAGGAGACAAAATAAATCTATTAGAAAAACATTATTGGATATTTATGCCTCTATTCTCCTAGGTACACTAGGTACACTACTTTGATGTTGACACCAACCCTGAAAAACACAGATAGAGGAAAACAGGTGCTAAAGGCAAGCATGTTATTGATCTATAACTCAGTATACACACACACACACACACACACACACACACATTTGCTATGTGTGTGTATTATATATATACACATATAACAATATTCTATACCATATAACTTGTAAGTAATGACATTGCTGAGTCAAAGGTGTTGCTGACCCAGGCCTGAGAAAGAGCCTTCATTTTAGAGATTAGTAATTTATCTATTATTAGATACATCAATGTATTATCTCTTATTAGATGTATAAGGTAAAGTTTTTGAAGTATTTAAGTACATTTAAATAAAATATTAATTTAAATAAAATATGACACAATTGGGAAGCTTTTTTAAAAATGGAGATGTAATATTCTTATTGCACATTTATTAAAATGTTTTTATAAGCAATGTGGTAACTACAGCTTGACTGTTGTAATTCTTATACAACTCTGTGAATATATTTTAAATCATTGAATTTTACAATTTAAATCATTGAATTTTGTGGCATACGTTGCCTCAATGAAACTTTAACATTAAAGGATGGTCTATCTCCAAACTCAATTCTCTTAAGTGATAGCATTAGTCTCAAAACTAGCAAGGTCATCAAATAGCTCTTTATCCTGTGAATTCTCTAAAATAGAAAATAAAATTTCATAAAAATTTAGCTTTGGAGATACTAGAATATAATATAGTTGCCATTGTTAATGTGGCAAGAATGGTAGTGTGAAGTTAAACCTCTTACTTGTACTTAATTTTCAAAAATGTTAAACTTTTTTTAAAAGCACAATATGTTTTTGGGATATCAGAGCACAAAAAGTCTCAACCCCCCAAACAACAGAGAAGAAGAAAGAAGAAGTTATTGAGATTCCTTTTGATGTACCCTCTACTTTTTTGCATCTAGATCTCTCCTGGAAACCTCTCAATAAGGTAAGAAACATGGAGTTTGTCCATCCTGTTTGCTTGCATACACTATATAATTTATGGACATAAGCATAGATACAAACACATATGTTAAAGGTTGTTTTAAAATTTAGATTAATACAGAACTTCACAATTCATGTATTCATTCAACCTATAAATGTGTTGAGAGTTACTGTGATGCTTGCTGGCTTATATCAAACCAGAAATCACAATTATTGTGACTTTGAAGTTATTATTTTTCCCTGCAGAAGCAAGTCAACACACACACATAACTTGTACTATGAATATGCAATTGTGTACCAGTTGCTTATTAATTACAAGATCTCAGGTTGGGGGGGTACCTAATTTTAGGTCCTCTATTGCAACCAAAATTTTGCACATTTTTGCATGTGAATATAGGGAAGAGCATTGTAACACCTATGAACAAACAAAACTGAAAAATAATTAGATGAGAAATTATTTGTACTTATTGATGCATGGCAGAGCTTAAAGAAAAGCACATTTAATTTAAGAAGATAAGGCTATGAATGGGATGGGTGTGAAAATCTGAGTGAACTTCTAATGTTGATGACTCTTTAGAATGTATCTAATTCTAATTCCAAACTCAGTACTTTACTTTGATTGGTAACTATACCTAAGGTTATCTTATTGTGTTGCTTCTAATGGAAGAAAGAGCACAGGGGAGTGATAATATTCCTGAGATAGCTGGGGCTAGAGATTATACATTAGAATGAGAGAATTAGAAATCATTGGGGTAAGATGTATTGATAGGTGAGTAGGTTAAAAAACAAAACTCCCTTGGGATTAACTGTAAGTAATGAGGACAAATATCCTGATGGAGAAAAGTGGGGTGAGAGCCCTGAGGGAGAAATGTCAAGTGTGACCATATCCCCTCTGGGGAAAACCCATGCCACTTCTGGAATTTAGGGGCACTTGGGTCCCCAGGAGGCCAAGGGTATACCAGGGAGATGCAAGTTCCCTGTTTAATGTTCTGGAGCTTTGTTTAGCTGAAATAGTTAAGGAATAGGGGACAGAACCATTATTTTATATGAAAACTAACAAGAATGTATTATGGAATAGAATATAAAACATTTTCAAAATTAAACAGCACATGAGACTTTGGGATTTGAAAACAAGGGCCCAGGAAAGATGTCTCCAGCAGCACAGTTTTAGAAACTGTGGTTTTATGCTTCTATGGGGAAAAGCACTAGAAATCTACCTAAGGACTAGGAAGTGAGACATGGCAATCTGGGGGTAGGAGCAGAATGGAAAAGCAAGAAGAAATCATGCATGGATAAATTAAGGCTCTGTGGAAATAATCTCTCTTATGTATTCTTCCAAAAGATAAAACTGTCTAAAGGTGAAACCAGTTTAGACCACTGCCCAACCAAGATAAGCTTGGGAGGAGACCATTACTTGTACAAAACACAAGGTAATGACTTTGGATTATTAACAAAGGTATTTACTAGTTTCCTTTATAGCATCTGTATGTTTATCCTATCATTCCTGCTTTTACTATCTGTTAATGCTATTTTAGGCTTTATGTTTTATCTGGTATAAGTTAGCAAGCTATTTGAGGGAACTCTCAAATTTTGGACCTTCTGCAGAGACAGGGCCGACTAGTCACTTACTCTGGTTAGGCTTGGCCGTTTTGACTAAAATACACTATCACACTTCTTGACTACATTTTGTCTGATGGCCCTAGACTGGTTTTTTAAATCACAAGTCCACCCTATTTCACATCCCATGGCTTGAGATGCAGACTCAGTTTCTGTGTCTTGTACTCTGCTGCCATCTAGTGGTCATAGGTGACTCACCCTTTGCCTGCCATGTTACATCCATAAACGTACTCTCCTAAATTTAGTCACTTTAAGAATTCCTATATTTATTCTAATGAATTTTTTGCCCTAAATGTTTTTTCAACTACCTTCAGAGCTGTTCTGTAATCATCTAAGCAATATAGCATAGTGGTCAAAGGTGTGGATTCTGGAGTTGATGGCCTGAGTTCAAATCCTACTCACAATTTATTTGAGCAGGTTGAAGAACTTTATGTTTCTATGCCTTACTTCTTTTTATGCCATTTAAAAGAGAGATAAATAATAAATATGTGTTTATCTTATGGACTCCTATGAAGATAAAATGAATTAGTGTAAAACTCTTAAAAAAAAAAACTGTTAACAGCACATCATCAACTCATAATAAATGTTAGCCACCAGTTGTGAGAGGTTCAGCAAGTGACTTGGAGACTCTGAGTTTTAATTTACTCATCCTCAGAGGAGGGTGAATGCTGACCTCCCTCAGGAGTTACTGTGGGGACTGAATGAAATGTTCATGTAGGCTTCCTTGTTTAAAGCCTGACATGTTGTGAGATATTCAGTAAACACAGCTGCTATTATTACTTTTCCTGGTAGTGGAAAAACCCATGACCTGCGAGGATGATGTTACGTCTGAATAAAAACAGTTGCTGATAGTATTTTGTCTGGTCATGTCTTCCTCTACTCTACAGCCTTAAATGCAGTTGACTAAGCCTCTTTTCTTGGCTCGCCTACCTTCCTTGGCTTTTGTGATTTTCTACTTCTTCATTTTCCTCCTGTTTTCTTTCCTGGATCCATTTCACCTTGCTGAACTCTCAACGTGAATTTGCCTCAGACTTCAGTGGTGTGTTTTCCTAGTCATGTATGTCATATACATCACACACACTCCCTTTCTTAGCACAATCTACTCTCTTATCTGTTGAGATTGCGCCATCTCTCATTGCCTCTTTTCCTTTTCTAAAGATTTATTTATTTATGCACCCAAAGAACTGGGGTACAGGCCAGAGGTGCAGTTTTGGAGTGAGAGGGTTCACCATAGAGTCGGGGAACAGAACAGGCAGACTGACTAAAATACACTGTTGAGGGGAGCAGCAGGCAAGACAGGAGAGGTCTGCCACGCCATGTGAGTCAGCTCCCCAGCTGGGGATTGAACTGGTGCGGCAGTGGCCTTGGATATCTTTACGGTGCTGTGCTTTAATCTGTTGCACCACCAGGGAGGGCACCTCTCATTGCTTCTTAATGTCTCCTGGGTTGGAACCCAACCTACTCTGCCAATGTCCTATGAATAAAACAGACCTAA